CATTCTTAAAAAGTACTTTAAACTGTATAAATACAATTGAAAGCGATTGACCAATCAGAAGAAAGTTATCCTATATCTCCGTCCCCCGAAATAGTCAAAATTTGCATTCCCTGATCATGATTGGCTATTTCCTATTACTAACCAAAATAAGGGTCATCTAAAGCGGACCAATCAAATTATAGAATTTTGATGATCGCAGGCAAAAACCAAAAAACGGTATGTAGTCTAAAATTACCTCTGGGTGGGTTAATTAAAAATATCGGGAAGGAAATTTTACTTATATATAACCACCTAAAACCTAACCTAACTCTGATCCTAACAAAGTTAATTCAATAAAATATTATTATAAGAATCTATATACTCTGCTTTAAACGTCCCTAAAATAAGTGCGTCCGTACTACGTGTTAGCGTTTTTTTCCGAACAGAGTAAATAAATATATACATAAATGAGAATTTTCTATTTCTAGGTTGCATGATTTAATTTTTAAATAGGGAAAATCATTAAGGCTTCTTGAACATGATTTTTCATGTGCCGATTCTGAGTATTTAACAAGATCCATCAGAAATAAGATCGATGAATAGGATGATCTTGAATTTATCAAGAAACAGTATATATCGATACATATAAATAGGTAAGAATTTCTTGTTTATAACCGGCCAGCCTTATTTTCTCATTATTATCCCTTACACAACGAATCGAACAAAAAAAAAAAAAGAATGGTAAAGGCAATAAAATTTGAAAACGAACGTCCGTTCTGGGGTCAAAGGTAGAGTATTTATATATTTTTTAATTCGATAACTCATAATTATTCATAATTATTATCTTTAATATAGAACTGCGACTTTAGACTGGTGCGAAGTAAGTTGATCAAAAAAGAATTCCATTATTGGTTGGGTAGATATATTATTGATACAGCTTATCCTTTCAATGAACCCTACTTTTTATAAGGAAAACTATATAGTTAATGAATATATCGCTGAATTCGTAAATACTGTAACGAATCTCACTTTTTGTAAGTACGTGGAAAAGGGGCAAATTTTTTTAGCGACTTTTTCTTTCCTTTTTTTTTTTAATTGTTAAAATATTTTAATTATTGAACTAAATTTGATAAAATTTTGATTTTAATTTTAGAATTAAAATAAAAAATTTTATCAAATTTGAATTAATAGTTATAATATTTAAAGAAAATTTCTAATATCTAATTAATTGTTTCTTAGTTTGCTTATGTTTTTTCGGGATTTATACAACAGTAAAATATGGATTAGAAAAACGGTTTATTATGGCTTATGCGGGCATCTTGCTAGTTGGTATAGGTTCTTGGTGCTTTCATATGACTTTGTTATATGAATTTCAATTGTTAGATGAACTTCCAAGTGAGTTGTATGCTATAAGTTGAATCCATAGATATATCATATATTTAACTTTTTTCCGCGCAACAGTGATATATGGAACTTGCATCCTGATGCATAATATGTAATTATCATTAATATTATTACTTATTTTAGATATAGACTATTAAATAATTTATCTTTCTTTAAAGCTTTGAAACAGGTCGTAAACGGAAATACGGGCTTTATCTACCTCTCGCACTATTCACATACGCCATTAGCATAACTGTAATTTATACGTATATCGAAATTCCAATTTTTCATCAAATCACTTACGGAATGCTAGTAACAGTATTAAACTTTCGCTCATATTATATTGTTGATAAGTTACCAAGAGACAGTCAACTTCGAACTAGCATGCAAAGATTATTGTTCAAGGCTTGGACGATATTTGGGCTTGGATTTCTAGCTTGGAACATTGATAATATTGCTTGTGATTATTTAAGAACGGCAAGACAAAAAATTGGTAGACCAACTAGCTACCTATTGGAGTTTCATGGGTGGTGGCATGTTTTTACTGCTATTGGCACTCATTATTGGATTGTTTTTAATCAATATATTAGATTAATTATGCTAGGGGAAGTTAATAATTGGGATATAAAGTGGACAATAGGCTTTATTCCTTATGTGGCTCGTAGCTCAAACAAGACTGCTAAGGTGAATAGAAAAAAGATTATGTAATTATATATTTATTTGTGAATTGTGAAAAAACAAATATATATAATCTATTTAGTTAAACAAACTGTAAATAATTGAATCTAAGTCTTTGAATACTACACCTGTTTAGCACCAATTACACACTAAGTGGGTACCTCATTGTAAATCGTTGAATTGCAATCTAATAATTATCAAATATATATATTTTTTTTTACACAAAGAATTAAAGTAAAATAAAATTTTGTAGCTTACAAATAATAAGCCAGTGCCAATTGCTATTGGCTACCTAAAATAGGAAAATATTACAAAAGTCAACCTTTTAACATGAAAATGCTTTTCAAAATAATATGTAAAAAAAATACTAATTTTAACAAAAGTAAACGCGTGTATAAAAAAAAAATAATTCTATATAGCAGATAAATGGAAAGGTATTATTATACAAATGTTAATTAAGAATTCCAAATAAATGTCATTAGTTACCAATATAATTATAATGTTCTTATAAATTATGGATACGTGTACATTCACATATTCGGCCAAAAACGTGAACTATAATTGACTAATAAATTACATGTAGTAAATAAATCAATCGCAACTTGAAATTACGTTCCTGATCATTAAAATGTTTCATCTTGATTAGGACAATCTTCTGTCCAGTGTAGTCCATGCTCCTCGCAATTATCACAATACTAAAATAAATAAAACAAATTTCATAAGGAATCATTATTTAAGAAAAGGTGTTTCTTAACGTATTTGAAATTCACTAACCGGTCTTTCATCTTTGTGACTTCCAGTGAATCCACCAACCGCGGTATCAGACGAAGCATTACTGGCGCTTGAATGTGTGCCAAACACTACCTTGCAACTTATGATATCATGGCCGGCTTCTTCGCAAATCTCGCAATATAAGTTTGAAGTTTCTGTTTTATTTGTTCGAGGTGGAGAACCTCCATCGATTAAACCATTACCAAGAATTGAAGCTTCTAGTAAGCTTGCACCATCACTATTATTCATTTTATTTAATTGCTCTTTCAAATCTTCAAAATCATCTTTCCACTTTTTGGTATTTCGTCGTTCTCGTTGTACTTCTTCTTCCAGATCTGCTTCACGGAAAATTTTACTTTCGATCAATGATTCCAGTTCTGCAACATCTTTATTCAATGCAGTTATTTCTCGTTGCTTTGACCTTTCCAATTCCTGGATTTTCTGACGCAATTCTCTAGTTTCTGCGTTATGTTTAGACGTCAATCTGTCTATTTGTGATTGTTTTTCTACTAAAAGTGATTGGAGACGTGATGTATCAGTTCTTGCTTGTGATGTTTCCCCTTCTTCTGAATCTTCTTGATCTACAGAACTAACTCCATTAGCTTGATACGAATCTTCGACAGGTGGAGACAATGATAAGATGCCCTGACCACCAAGCGATTCACTATGTAGTCTCTCCAATTCGTCCATCAATTTCAAACATTCATTTTCCACTTGTCGATGAGCTTCCATTAATTTTTCTTGCTCGGCTAAAATTTTTTTATTATCACTGGTGATAGAAACATTTTCACGAGTCAACTCTTGTACAATATGTTTGAGTCCGGTAATTTGTTCTTCATACGCTGTAACTTTTTCTTCAAATTCTTTAATTTTTTGCGTCATATCTTCTGTTGTTTTTGTAGATATGGCCAAATCTTTAATTTTTTTCTTCAATTGCTCGTTTTCTGTTTTAAGTTTTACAGAATCTTGAGATGACACAGAAAGGTCTTCAACAACTTTTAAATTTTCTGCATTTTTTTTAAGTTGCTCTAATTCTGCTATCTTGATATCAAGCTCAGATTTTAGTTGACCAGCATGATTTTCTTTATTTTTCAGTCGCTGTTGTAACTCTTCTAGATCCTTTTGGGTATTTTCACGTACTTCGATTAATTCTTTTCTCAAATTTTCAAATGATTCCATCAATGCTGATTTTTCAGCTTCCGCATCTTTAATAATGCTTATCTTTTGCTCCTCAACTCTAGTGATGTTTACTTTGTATTCTTCTATGTCTGTAACTAACTGTGTACGTTCATTTTCATTTTGCAACATGTTACCTTTTAACACATCCATTTCAGTGATAATATCCTGCCTCTCTTTCTCGTTATCTTGCAATTTTTTCTCTACCAATTTTTTTTCATCTTTAATAACATCCAATTCTCCAACAAGTGCACGCTTTTCGGATTGCGTATCAGATAATAATTTTCTCACTTCTCCCAATTCATATTGAAGCCTCTTAATGTCGCTCTCAAAGACTTCTTTAACCTTTTCAATTTCTTCGTCTGTATTAGCAGCCATAAGATTTTGCATATTATTTTTGAGAGCCGAAATTTCCTCTTGTTGCCTACTAACAAGAGCTTGTGAGTCTCGCACTTCATCCTCTAATTGATAAATGCGCTCACGGGACTTTGCATCCGCACGCATCATATGTTCCAAACCAGTTTGTAAATCAGCCAATTCGTTTCTAAGACCCTCTTCCCTCTTTGTCTTTGTTTCTGTCAACTCTTTTTGCAACAATCTAAGCCTCTCTATTTCTTTGTTAGCAGCGCTGAGTGCTTCCTCTTTCCTAATCAATTGATTTTTTGTATTTTCCATCTCTCTTTTAGTCTCCTCGATTGTTTTCTCGTACACATCAATAGCTTCCACACCAGCAGATCGTAATTCTTCGGCCTCTTTTTCCAACAAATTAATTTTAGCTTCACGTTCTGAAATTCTATTTGTTGCCTCCTCATATAATGATATTGTTTCTACACCTGCTTTTTTTAAGTCTTCAACTTGTTGCTCGAGCGATGAAACTCTTAATTCATAAATGTTGATTGTCTCCTGACCTGCAGATTTTAACTCGTTAATGGTCTCTTGAAGTGCACGCATTTTGCCATCTGATTCCATCTGAATACTTTCAACATTTCCCGTTAATTGAACGATTTCAGTGGATTTTTCTTGAATAACCTTCTCCAGCTGAGCAACTCTATCAGAAGATTCTGTTTGCGAATTTTGAGTACCAAGGCTTGCAAGCTGTTCTATCTTGTCGGCACGTTCCGTGTTAATTTTTTCCAGCTCGGCAATCTTTATTTGATACTCATTGGATTGTTTAGTCACCTTGTTAAGCGATTCTTCAAGTGATTTAATCTGTTCGTCTTTCTGTTCAACTAGTTCAGTCAACTGCAAAATTTTATCGCTCATAAAATCATCATCTGCGATCTGAGAAAGAGAAGTGCCTGGTCGTCCCTTTGAAGAATCTTGAAGTTTCTTTGTCAATTCTGCTATCTTTTCGTTTAATGCTTTTTCAATAGATTCTTTTTCTTCTAAAAGAGCAATTTTTTCATTTTCCCAACTTTCTTTAACATCAGCATGTGTTAACCCTGTGCGACGATTAAGAAAACTTCGTTCATGCAATTTTCCTGCATCGGCTTGAGTTTGAAGTTTCCTGTCATCAAGTTTCAAGCGTGCATTTTCTCCTTCCAATACATCAATTTTCATTTGTAATTGTTGAATCCGAAGAGCTTGTTGATCAAACAAACTTAAAGGAACATTTTCCGAATTTTCCGAATCATTTAGCAATTTTTTTACTTTTTCTTGAAGAGATTTATTACTCATTTCTTCATTTATAGATGCAATGACTGTCATATCACTATCAGAAGGGGATAAAGCATCGTTTGGCGGATTTGGAGAACGTGAAATTACTGATCTTGGTTGTGAAGCTGATTGAGATGTACTGGATATAGCAGATCCGTTAGAGGAGGAGGAATTGCTCCTCGGTCGGTTTTTTGCATAGGTTTGGGATAAAGATAGTGATTTTAGATTATTATTTGAACCTGGACGGGTTAAGCCTGAGGTCTTTTTAGTTTCCTGAGACTGATTGCGGAAAGATTGTGGCTCAGTGATAGGTGTAGTGATAATATTTGTGGGTTTAGATCTTTGTTTAAGTTGAGAAGCCGTGACACCAATATACTTGGAGGCACGTGATCCAGCAGTTATACGGGAAGCGGCCAATGCAGCATTCTGCGCATTTTTGGAAATTCTAGGATCCATAGAAGGAATCCCAGATGATTCTTTGTCGCTAGAATTAGTGGAAGTGGATGAAGGGCGTGGTAATTTATGAGTAGGTGGGTTAGGTTTAATTGAGGTCGACACTTGCGGTAAACCAGCTGGCTCTTTGTCAACTTTTGAAAGCTTTGAAGGGAGAACAAAAATGCCGGATTTTGGTGCACAAGTAAAATATGATTTACTAAATATCAATAATAATATTGAGTTACATTTAGTAAAATTGTTTTTGTTAAATAAATTATACCGAAGGTTTAAAACCTACCCATTGACACTTCCGTCATTTTTGCCTGTTCCGGGAATATCAACTTCTACTCCAGCCCAGGTACCAGGTTTGATATCTATGGGTCCTAAAAATCTTAATGTGCCAATTATGTTCATTGATTCGGCAATAACTCGATCTCCAACTGAGAATTGTGAAAGTGAAGGTGAAGCAGGACGTGGTGAAGTAGAAACAGATTGTAAACGTGGATGAACAGGTAATATATTTGTGGATGGTGATCCAGTAGTTGAATGTTGGTTTTGTATCGAAAATGATCGTTGAGATGAAATAGATGATTGATGCACTGAATTATTTAGAGAGTATTTTGAAGGCAAAGCTTGTGGTTGAGTTGTAGAAATTGGTAAATCTGTAGGCATCTCATCCAGTGGTGGTAATAAAGGTTGTCGAGTCACCTTAGATATACTTGGTCTCCTAGCACCAGGCTTCCTCAGTGAGTTATTTGACTGGTTGCTTGAATTAGGTATAGTACTAGAAGGGAATGGCAGGTCACTTTGAGTGCTAGGGGCCGAGGTAGAACTACTATTAAATTCGTTCGCTTTAGTAGCGGCTCCTGGGTTGTACTTTTCCATAGCCTCTTGCAGTAAAGCTTCTTGCTCTGGAGTGAGCCCCTTTAAGCCAGTCGTTGACTTTTGTGCGGTGCCAGTAGATGAGCGTCGTCGGCCAGCTGGGGAAGGAAGTGCTGAAACCGGTACACTACTCCCTGATGGGTATTTTGGTAATTTAGACATTGTATAACGAAATATTTAACGATGTAGTTTGTGTTAGTAGAGTGCTATGAAGCAAATATTTTATTTGAATCTCTACTCGTTCGGGATCTAGGGAAGGATTGTTATTTAGTATTGTTAATAGCCAATTTATTTATATACAGTGTAACAAATCATAAAACTCTAAACCTGTGTACTATTATGGAAAACCTGTAGGATATCGCCATGTTTGAAAGGAACAAGAGTCCCTTACTGACTTGTTGTTTTACGTCATATTAACATGCTTGTTTGTAATATTGATAATACGTGATAACCATGCTCATCACTTGCATAATTTGCCCCTCGAATTCCTAATGAAATCCTCACGTGCCAAAATTCGAACTTCAAGTCACTCGTTAGTGAACATTTGATATAAGTATAGATATATTGAATTTATTGACATAGCGAAGGAAATCCTACAGCCCGATGACTTCTATAACGAGTAATTTATTTTTTCTTCGGTGTGAATCGTATTAAAAAAAAAAAAAAAAACTTTTCTAAAGGCCCTCTTGCCTCTTGTCAAAAAAAAAAAACTACAATTATACATGATACACGCACGCCAGAAAAGTTGTTATTAACAAGCACGCGGAGTTTATTAATCGAATTTCTTGAGCTTAATACATTATAATTTTAATAATTTACAACGCATATGCATACTATTGCACATGTGGATAAGGAATCGGAATCACATTTAGCAAAGAAAACATTGATCTTGCTAATCTTTTTTGACCTTCTCTTATAATGGTAATAACTTTTCCACTACGACCCATCCTTCCAGTACGTCCAGACATATGCAAATATTCAGTCGATGAAGATGGCATACCCAAAATAAATACGTGCGATACAGAAGAGATATCAATACCCCGGGCAGTATATTCAGGAGCGACGAATATTGTCCCTGATGTTGATTCTGACGGATTGTTCCATGGGGAACTCTTAATTTCTTTGTTTATAAACGAAGTTGCTAATTCCTTTGCAATTACACCAAACTGTTTAAGACGTTCGATCACCACTGGTACATTGATTTTATTATTCACAAAGATCAAGCCACTTTGCACATTTTCAAGCTCAATTGCACCAGCAACACTATCCAACATCCGGTCATCAACATCATCGAAATCCTGTGTTCGTTCCTCAAAACTTTTAACATTGCATTTATTATGGCCATCCGAAAAATCAGCTGATGTTATATTCTTGATTTCTTTTGATGAAACCAAAAGACAATAATGTTCGATCGTCGGTGGTGATAAGGTTCCTTGTGTCATATCAACAAATATTGGATCTTCGGAGTACTCATTATCTTTAAAATAAAATCGTAATGCGCGATTTAGAGTAGCCGAAGACACCACAAGTTGAGGCCTAGCCTGCTCGAAAATTTTTCGTGTTAACAATTCTGCCGGCTTTGGATGAATCAGTCTGTTTCGAATCCTCTTTAACGGTGCATGTTTAGTGGGAAGTCTTAATAGATGATCTGCTTCGTCTAACACAAGAGTCCTTAGGTTGGAAAAAGTTAATAAACCTTCTGCGGTAAGGTCACTGAGTCTTGTTGCAGTGCCTACTAATATATGTGGAGGAATGTTGTTCAAATCATCCAATTGCCTGATCTCATCCTGCTGAGAGGTCTTTGCAACGACCTGAATGATTGATTTCAAGGGCAAACCGGAATCAATTAATAGCATATGTATCCAATTTTCAATTTGAAATCCTAACTCGCGACTGGGAACAACTAATATACTAGTTACGCATGGTTTTTTCATAGTGGAATGGTTCACAAATACTTGTTTTCTAGACTGATTGAGTAATGCTAAAACTATACCAAACGTTTTTCCAGACCCCGTAATGTCTCTAACTAGAACATCTTTTCCAGCCAGAATAGCTGGTATTAATGCTTTCTGACATTGTGTTGGTATCGTTATATTAAAATTTTTATCCAACACTTTGCATATAGGATCTCGAATTCCTATGCCCTAACGCAAAATAAATTGTAAATATTAAGAAATATAAACAACAAATAAATGAAGCAAGAATATAAATACTGCAAAAGTATCTGAAGTATAGTTGTTTGGCGAAACTTTTCCTGCGTAGTGACGAAAGAAGGAACCTAAAAGTGGTGAAAGACGGACGACGAAACTCTGACGAAACCCCAAATCCCCCATAGGACATTCGTATGATTGGCTGGTGTAAATCAAAATGCCCGGGTAACTTATTTATCGTTATCAATCACATGTAGCCTCCGAGTAGGCCCACAAGGGCCGGGCTAGAGTATCGAATTCATAGGAAGAAGTTCGTCTGATTGGCTGATGTAAATCAATTGCCCGGGTAACTTATTTATATGTTTTAAAGTACT